GGCGGGGACCTGGGGCCCGTGGGGCGCACGGGGCCGGTGGGGCCGCGTGGGAAGAGTGCGGGGTGGCTACTCGAGAGCCGACAGGGTCCCCGCAGACCGGGGTGGGTCTCGGGAAAAGTTTAGAGCCCCAGGGAGTGAACCCTGGGGCTGACCTCGCTGATCTGTGTGAGTGATGCTCCCTTCACAGGTCTTGGCCTGGCATCTTCCTCCGGTAACAACCCCGGGAGGTTGGTCAGGCCATACCCCAATTCGCAGTTGAGACACTTTAGGTTATTGCCTTCCATCATGTATTCAATCAATAAATATTTACTGAGCACCTACTAATGCCAGGCATTGTCCTAGAGGCTGAGAACAGAGCAGTGACAATGAGCATAGGGAGTTGGCAAAAAAAAATCCCTGCCCCTGGGCGGGGAGAGTATAGCTAAACCAAATACCCCTGTACCTGAAGAAACTGTCTTTCCTACAATACTTACACCCACTGGGTCCTGGGCACCACTGTATCTAAGATGCTTGTGCATCTTAGATGGTACATACATGTATGAGATCAGAAACCGTCCACCTCCATCAGTATTCCAGGTACAGTGCACTCTAGGCCTTCCTCTGTACAGTGTTTGGGGGAGCCTGTGGACAACTGAGAATTTATGGCTTTCTGAGTATACCACTATGAGGAATCTACAGATAAAAAACAGACAAAACATCATTGTTAAATCACTTTTTTAATCTTAAGAAATATTACTCTAAAACAAAAACATCATTAAGAAAATAATAGGTCATTCCAAGATTTCTTAATATCTTCTGTAACATTCCACTCAGAAGGCAGAAAATCACAAAGTTCTTCCCTAAGGAAGGGTGCAAATGGAATGTAATACTGCATTACCACATTGTCTAGAATACAAACTGAAGACGAGGAAACTCAGTTATATCATTCCCCCCAGCTCACTTCTGCGGAAGAACGGCAGCTCGACATCCTGGGTGCTCTGAACGCGGCCCACAGCTGTGACCTTGGATCAGTGATCCCGGTGATCCTCCTCAGTCAGCATTAAGGATGCGCCGTGCTTACACTTGTCCTGTGGCAGGCGTCCTCCGCATCACACTCCGATCCACCACAGAAATCACGCACACAACTATTCTTCTGTCACGATCCTCCTACCTAACAATTTTAAACCAGCTAAGGTAGAACTGAGGTCACATAGGCACCGCGCCAGGAAGAGCTACATGGGAACCACTCCCTGTTCACAAACATCCAGCTTCAGAGTGACAGCACCCTGGACAGGCAAGGGCACAGTCACATTTTAAAAAAGGAAGAGTGAGAAGTCAACAGGCGTAAGCACCAGTGGCAGAGAATCCTGCTCTTGGCAGGATGCTTGAAGGAGCCACGGCTGTATGTATCCTAGCAATCTAACATTTTACACTGGTAGTTCCTTACACAAAAGTAAAAAAAAAAAAAAAAAAAAAAAACCCACATAATTTTTTTCCTTAATTAACAGTTTTACTCCAAGTTTGGCTGGTAAAATCATGAGACTTGCTAGCCTAATGGTCTTGAGAAAATTTTCTAGTTGCAAGATGCCTCACTATGGAGTCATTAATTAGTAGGCTCAAAGCAAACCCTGAATTGGATGAATTTGTGAAACAATGATGTATTTCCCCAAATTTGAAAAACAGGAGATTGAAGGCGGATGTTAACACCAAACAAAGCCCAGGAGGTGTTAAAATGGCACCCTGGAACTGGTTCGCAGCAAAACCTAGTTTTCTACTAGTTCTCATCACGTGGTTGAGCTCTTCAGTCAGCAGACGACGGGTAGGGCAGCAGGATTAGCAGCACCAAACAATTCCCCTCCGATGTAGCCACAGAAGGGAAAAGACTTCTGGTGCCAAGTGCTGGCTCTCATCCTTAGCAAAGCAGGCCAGTCCCTCAATCCCACTGCGTGCCTGGGAGAGACAGCAACAGTAGTTCCATGAGAGGCAAAGACTAACAGGAACCTCAAAGCTCACTCAGGAAAGACGTGAAAGTATCATGGAAAAGGAGCACCATGCTGCTGATTTTAACAGCTTTTTTACCGGAGGAATTTGTTGGTCATGTCTACAGCATAGGAAATTACCCCCCTGCAAAGGAAATGCAGAAAAATTAGATTCATAGGAGGGGTATACATTCAGAGTAGGGAAAAATATGGTGCATGTTATAAAAACAGAAAATATGAAAATCATTTCACTATGAAATGTCTGGATTTGCATGTGACTTGGTATTTATTTCATATTAACCAGATCCAACTGCTCTAATAAATCTCTATCATATATGTTTTAGAATACCTATTTTTTAAAAAAATACATTTTCAAGCCAAAACATAAAATCTGTATTTGTGTGTCCATGTATAAGTTATCCTCCCTGGTATCTTCCTGGATCCAAGATGCTAAGAGATTAATAAAATAATTTTTTAAAAAATCTCAAGCCACAGATTAACAAATAGACTTCCTCAAGTTTTTTGGATGACACCACTAAAAGTAACTTGTATTAATGCACTCTGAATTTTCAGGTATAAATACCAGTCAATGGTTGGCTGGCCATTAAATGACAAGTATAATTATTCCAGAACTGGGTCATAGTATATAGAATGCCTTAACTTTTCTTAGGTGAAGCTCTGTAATTTGACCCTAAAATTCCTAAGCACGCCCCTTTCTGTGCTCTAAGCTGACACACTGACTCTGCAGTCTATACTCTGTAAGAGAGCAGGTAATTCCAGCACAGAAGAAACTATATAATGCGGCATGGGGGATGACTTCAATGGCACTGTTCCATTTCTGTTTATCCAGACCGTTGCTTTCAGCCCGGCATTGAGGCCTCCTTGAATATCGGTTTCTAGGGTGTCCCCAACCATCACGCAGTCCCCAGGCTGGACTCCCAGAAGATCACACGAGTAATAAAATATGGAAGGGGCTGGTTTCTCCTCTTCCTGTTCTCCACCTACAACAATAGCATCGAAATAGGACTGACAGGCACAAGCCTCGATCTTCTCCCTCTGTGTCTGTCTTTCTCCATTTGTTAATAAAAGCAGGCGGACTTCCTTCCGAAGTTCAGTGAGCATGGCTTTGACATCTTCCGCTAGTGTCATATGCTGTAAACGTGTAGATTTCCACAGGAAATAACATTCTTCGGCCAATTTCCTATTGGCTGCACCACCTTTTGTTTCCTGGATCGCTTCCTCCCAGTGTGAAGTCCTTAGGTCAGTAATGCAAGTATTGGAAGGATGGAAACACTCCTTGCTGAGTTTAACCTGAACTTTGTCACAGATGATTTCGGCCTCTTCTTTGTACTGGTATTTTGATTGTAAGAGCTTTATCACCTAAATAAGGGAAAATAACTCCATCAGCATACTCCATGTCTTTAACACTCATGCCCTGAGAAGCTGTGAGGCTACAAACCCAGAGCAGAGACAGATTTCAACTCCACTCCTCTGTCTTAAAGAAGCTCTATTACCATACCATTTCTGGTGGGAATTCGTCTTAATTTTCCCCCAATTCTTTGTTTGTTTGTTTTTTGGGGGGAAGGTAATTAGGTTTGTGTATGTATGTAGGTACGTATGTATTTATTAATGGAGGCATTGGGGTTTGAACCCAGGATCTCGTGCCTGCTAAGCTCGCTCTACCAAGGAGCGACATCCTCCCCCTAAACTGGTCTTATTTTTAAAGACTACCAGAGTGAAGATCTCTCAGCCTCTCTAGTCTTTGTCTTAAGTCTACTGTCTTTCATTCTGGTCATGAACATATAAAAATAAAACGACTTATATTTAGTAAAACATTCAAACTTCCTTTTTTTTTTCTAAAGGTTCCACCCTTCTCCTCTTTTTATTTATTTTTAAAATTTATTTTGGGAGGAGGTAAGTAGCTTTTTTAAATTTATTTTTTAATGCAGGTACTGACGATTGAACCCACGACCTTGTGCGTACTAAGCACACACTCTACCACTGAGCTACACCCTTTCCCCTTTTAAAATGTTTAACAACTAATACTTAGACGCTTCCCAGAAATACCACTAGTTCACCTAACCTTTCCTCTCCTTATGTTTTGGAGGCCTAAGTTAACACCATACAAAAGGGGACCCAACGCTATACTTGTAAAAACATGTGTATGTACCTCTAATGGAATCAAGCATGTTCAGTGATTTCAGCAGTTTAATGCCAGTGCTTCTCCCAAACTTAGCTTTCGAGAGTAAAAAACCTCAAGTAGTTCTGAGTCCCTCTCTTGGCCACACGGGCTCTGGACCCCTTATCACAGCCCCTTTTGTGCTCGCACAGCTCCTTCCTGGTTGTTTGTTAGCAGGTTCTTATCCCCTTGGCCTGTCTCCTAGCATTTACCAAGACCCTAACTTGGCAGCAGGATGCCCAAGGCTCAAATACATTGTTTCTGATCTTGTCTACACTCTGCAAGGGAGATCCCTTTTTGAGATGAGGGACTGGAAGGTCAGGACTGTTAATAACTGGCCCCAGCTGAGGTTTAACCACATACTTGCCTACCTCCAAGGCCGTACGCTTGCCTTTGCACTACTGGACCAGGCACTGGAGACTGGACATCATGACCCCATCTGGTGGGGAAAATCACCACCGCAAATGCTGGGCTGAGTGCCTTGACAGGCACACGAAAAACTGCGGAAATAAGGAGCAATCCTAGGGTCGTCGGGCATGGAAGGCAGAGAAGGCACCTTTAAACCAAGGAGTTACCGAGCCTTGAAGGTGGAGATGGGAGGAGGTTTGAATCATTCCAGACATAACAACAGCACAACGACAGAACCTGGAATTTTGTGAACTGGGAAAGGCAGCTGAGTTCAGGCACAATGGAAGGCATGTGAAGGAGACGCTAAGAGGTGAGGCTGGAGAGGCTGCAGCGGATGCTGCCCCGATTCCCTGGCACGCGCTACCCTACACGTGCCCATGGCTTCATACCGCATGGACTTGGGCTTCTCTGCCTGAGAACTTCATCTGGCCAAGGGGCACCCATGCATATAGGCTGGAGCCAGAGTATAGCCCTAGAAGCAGGCCTCAACCAGTTAGAGGCAGAAACTGGTGTACCTCCAGTCACAGAGAACAAACTTATGGTTACCAGGGGTAAAGGGAGTGGGAAGGGATAAACTGGGAGTTTGAAAATTGCATCTCTTGGGGAGTGATGGAAATGTTAGCTATCTTGATTGTGGTGGTGGTTTTGCGGGTGTACACCGCATCTACCAAAATTCACCAAATTGTACATTTTAAATATGTGTAGTCTATTGTACAGGAATGATACCACAATAAACATGTTAAAAAAATACTTCTTCCAAGCTTTCAGGATCAAATTTCGAAAAAAAAGAAAATGAAATGGACATGCCTCTTGGGAGGGTCACGCAAAGCACAAAGCATGTCTGCGTGCTGACTCCCAGCGTCCCCCACTGTTCATACCGTTCCCTGCTCATTAATACAACCTGTCTGAGATTCCCTCCCTTCCCAATCTTACTCCGTCACTCCCCTTCCTGGGATCCTACCCTCCGGGAACTACCTGCACTTGAAGTCCCTGTCTTGGGGACATCTGGAGAAAGGCAACCATGCCAAGCAGATTTTGGATCTTTGCAGATGAGTGCAGTACACTTAACTGGGACTAAAAATTGTCTGTTGCTGAAGGAAAGCAGTGAAATAAGTTCAACTGTGTTGCCCTAAACTCTACAGGGAATAAATGAGCTGCTAGTCACGGCAGACACTCTATTCACCTCCTGAACAGGGGAACAGCTGAACAGACACATTCTTCCTTCAGAGTATGAGAAGCACGTCACAGGTAAAAGGAACAGTTCTCAGGCTATGTGTGCTGCTCGGCAAATGTAAGAGTTAAAAAAGGTCCTGCTGGTCCGAGAAAAATGTATCAGCCCTAGGAGTTCTAGACAAAGGTAAAACACTGACACTTGTTGCTTTTTAAAGTTAAATTTCAATGAACAAATTCAGCTTATTCCATCTTCATAGTGATGTCACCGTCTTTTCTAGCAATGTCAACTGAACTACTCTTGAGGTACGACTGCAGGTCACTCTAAAGTCCTTAGCAACACTACTGCCACACAATAAAAGGACACAGGCCTCTAGGACTCCACAGGACTCTTGCTGAAACAGGGCCTGGCTCAGTTAGTTAGTAAATGAGACTCCCAACAGAGATCCCACTGCCTGTACACCGCAACTGGTGATTCGTTAAGCACATTCTTGGGGCTCTGAAAGAGCAGACTGGCTCACCTCAAAGGGGAGACTCTTTGTATAGGCATGGCATATTGCCCCCCCCAAGTTTCAAACCTGTTTCCCAACTTTGCCGTTTTGTCACACAGCGACTAGTTACATATTCTTTTAGAATAACAAGCAGCATTTTAGTATCAGTGACATCTTTGGTGGGGGGAGCATTGTGTATCAGTCATTCACATATTACTATTAGTTCAAACAGAACTAAAGCCTAAGGTGCAAGAGTATATACATGACAGTGAGAACTCCCCAACGTCTGCACTGGGAGAACGGGGTTGTATCTGAACTGGGGCTGGAGGAAAAAGATCTCGAAGTTAGAGGTATGATGACATTTTCTACTTCAAAACTCTACTTAAGGGTAGAAACACAAAAAAAGGAAACTCTTCTACCTCTGGCTCTCTGGACCCAGAATTAAAGTTAATCCTATCAGTACTAATGCTTAGCTGTGATTTAAGAAGACTTTTTGAGGGCTAGTGTGGGAACCATGTAACATTTTATAGCATATGATTATGATATGAAGTGGCTGAATTCCAAATGACACTAATTTAAAAAGACATGCTCACAAAGCATGACGGCTGCATACAGACTAACAATTCAAGTGACGTTTGTTATTTTTAGTTCAAGTCTTTATTTAAAAATCATCTACTCAGTGAGGCCTGATCTGACCAACCTATTTTAAAATTTTAATTTTCTCCCCTCCATTTTTTCTAATACACTTATAAATATAAGCACGTTTATTATGTTCACTGTCATCCCCACTAGATAGTAAACTCAAAAACACAGAAATCTTTTTTGCTTTTCTGTAAAAGGCTTCCTAATTTTCTATAGAAGGCTTCCTCTTGAATAGTGACATTGAAAGACAGACCTGAAGAGGGTAGAAAGAAATAACTCTCCCAGATGATCAAAAAAAAAAAAAAAAAGTTAGACTGACCAAGCATTACT